TGACCTTATATGGGGGCTACCTGAAAAAATGGACCTATATTTAAAATTTTTAGTAAAGAGATTTGCTACCCAATAAGAACTCAAAGTACCAAATTTCAGCGAATTCAGTTGAAAACGCGTTCAATAATCTCAAAATACCGAAAATTGGTGGAGGGAGGAGTGATACCCTTATATGTGAGCTATGCCTAAACGTGGACCGATGTAGCCCATCTTCGAACTTGACATGCCTGCCAGACTCAATGCAAAATTTTGGCGATCTGTCTCAATTCGTTTAGACGCTAGAGTGATTACAACAGACATACGGACATGCTTAAATATATAGGGTCGGAAATGATTATTTCGATGCGTTACAAACGGAAAAACAAAACTAATATACCCTCCATACTATGGTGGAGGGTATAAAAATCCATGGCTGACTAAGAACTACCAAAAATATTAAAAAAATCTATGGCTGCCTAAGAAGCCCCAAGTTTGCATAAGAAGACCCTAAGATATTTTTAAAAATCCATGACTGCTGAGAGACCTTCTAAAAATATTTTTTATTTTTTTTAAGAAGTCCCAAACATATTTTTAAAAAATCCTTGGAACCTCAAAAAATATTTTTAAAAATCCACACCTTTCTAAGAAAATATATAAAAAAAATCCCTCCCGTCTAAGAGCCCCCAAAAATTGTTTTAAAAAATCCACGCCTGCCTGAGCCCCCAAAAATTGATTTAAAAAATCCACGACTGTCTATGGGCCTCTAAAGAATATTTTTAAACCTCCAATCTCTCTATAAGCCTGTGGAAGATCCCTTACAGATGAAGGGCCTTCTAAAGCTTCGTTTAAGCTTCTTCTAGAAGATATCTCCTAAAAGACACGTAGGTCGGTTTGTAATGTTATGTATGTATGTAAATATTTACGTATTTATGTAAACTTTTTTCAATTAGCCCATATGGCCAGGCCATTATGGAACAAGAATTGTGTTTAACAGAGAAAATAACACCATCTTTGTTTAATAAGTGACGGGACGGGATGGGACGTTCGACACGATTGCACATGTTCTGTTCTGGTGTCCGCCCTATTTAACAACACAGAATAAACAAAGAAGTTTTAGCACTAAATAGCTCGATTGTTACCCCCTTCTCGCCCCTTCACAGCCATTGTGTATAAACATCACCTCTAGATATACATATCTATCCCCCCCCCTTCAGTTGGATTTCAGAAGTGTGTCTCTGGGTGGAATGGTGTATTGTTGTAATGGATATTTTGGATATTCGGGTTTACTTACTCATTCAATTCTGGGAATATCATGTAGACATAAAACATTGCAGCCAATGACGTTACAAAAATTCCAGCCAATATGAAAAGGGATTTTTTGGTTGCGGAACGTTCAGCGGCCGACATTGGCTTTTTGGGGCTTGCAGTTGAGGGAGCCGTTGTTGTACTGCTGCTGCTCGAGGTGGTGGTTGCATTTGTAATTTTTTCATTATTGTGGCCATCCTGCTGCTGCTGGTCATTTTGAGGCAGCAGTTCCTTGGTTGGGGGAGCTACTGCCAGTCGAGTTGTGGCCGAAGGTGTCATTGATGAAGATTTTTCTTGAGATTTGTAGTTGCAGTTGAGGGGGAGTTCTTTTTCTGACACTTCTGTGTGACAAAACAATGTCATCACATCACAAAGAGACACCCCGTTAGATTACAATCAGCGAGCGAGCGCAAGAGAGAGTGTTCACAAATGAAAGAGAGAGTGAAAATAGGGAAATGTTGATTGTTATTGTTGTTGTAAAATGAATTTAATTTATTTAGAAATTTACCTATTCCTCCAGATTCAGCCAATAATGGGGTATTCTCAAAGTCCATTGTTTACTTGACGGGGGCTAGAGCAAATTTTGTATGGTGCTGTTTGTTTGTTGTTGTTTTAACAATCAACAAAATTAACTTTGCACACTGGAACACACACACACACCGACAAACACAGTATACACAAACGAAGTTTGCTATTATCTTTTGTTTTTTTCTTCTTCTTTATTTTTTTATAAAAACAATAATTCTAACTTCCGTGTACAAAGATTCTTGATTTTTCACGCACACACAGCAACAACAACAAATAGAGATTGTTGGGATTTTTAATAGAAAAAATGTATAAAAAAGACTTGTAATCAATAACACTTTTGCTCAGTATTTGTAATTTCATTTATTTTGTTGTTATTGTTTGATTTTTCCGTTTTATAGCATTTTTATGCTTCGCTTTGTTCTCGCGTGATTTCTTTCAAGTTTGAATAGAAAAAAAAACACCAACAATCAACCCCAAATCCGTAACGTGGGGAAGGCTATAATTTTTTTCTTTTACAAAAACAATTTATTTACTTTCCACTATTTCATTTAAAAAAATAAATATATTTTTTATGTTGCGAAATAATTTTGTTGTTTTTGTTTACGGCCGTGCAAAATTATTACCCAAAACAAAAAACACCGCGACAACTTACAAAGAGCAAGCTAACGACGAGAGACTGACAGAAACTGAATGAAACGTCATTATGATCTGAGTGAGGCCTGAGAAACACTAAATTAAAAACGTTCCACATTGGGAGAACCACAAATGAAAAACGTTCCGACGAAGGGCAAGCTAACGACGATAGACTTTGACAGAAACTGAATGAAACGTCATTATGATTTGAGTGATGCCTGAAGATGACAAAATTAAAAACGTTCCACAGGGGAGAAAAAAATTAAAACGTTCCAACGACTGTTAAATCGGGGAGGAGAAGAAAAAAAGGGATACCGCAAGTCAGCGATAATGACTAGCACACTATCGATGACAAATACAGTTTTTGAATGACTAACTAATACCATGTTCTCACGATCGATTTAAAAAAAACATATTTTTGGAAAATACAAAAAAAAACTTCAAAATATTTTTTTAAATCATTGTGTGCCTATAAGCCTCTAGAATTTATTGTAAAAATCCCAAGCTGCCTATAAGCCTCTAGAAATATTAAAAAAATCCCATGCTGCCTGTAAGCCTTTAGAATTATTTTAAAAAAATCCCAAGCTGCCTGCCTAAGAAGCTATGAAAATGTCTGAAAATATTTTTAAAAAATCCAGGCCTGCATAGCAAGCTCTGAAAATGTCTGAAAATATTTTTAAAAAATCCAGGCCTGCATAGCAAGCTCTGAAAATGTCTGAAAATATTTTTAAAAAATCCAGGCCTGCCTAAGAAGCTCTGAAAATGTTGGAAAATAATTTTAAAAAAATCCAGGCCTGCCTAAGAAGCTCTGAAAATGTTTGAAAATATTTTTAAAAAATCCAGGTCTGTCTAAGAAGCTCTGAAAATGTTTGAAAATATTTTTAAAAAATCCAGGTCTGTCTAAGAAGCTCTGAAAATGTCTGAAAATGTTTTTAAAAAAACCAGGTCTGTCTAAGAAGCTCTGAAAATGTTTAAAAATAATTTTTAAAAATCCACGCCTGCCTAAGAAGCTCTGAAAATGTTTGAAAATATTTTTTAAAAATCCACGCCTGTTGTGAGAGACCCTCTAAAAATGTTTGAAAATATTTTTTAAAAATCCACGCCTGTTGTGAGAGACCCTCTAAAAATGTTTGAAAATATTTTTTAAAAATCCTCGCCTGTTGTGAGAGACCCTCTAAAAATGTTTGAAAATATTTTTTAAAAATCCACGCCTGTTGTGAGAGACCCTCTAAAAATGTTTGAAAATATTTTTAAAAAATCCACGCCTGTTGTGAGAGACCCTCTAAAAATATTTTAAAAAAATCCACGCTGTGAGAGACCCTCTTAAAATATTTTTAAAAAATCCCCGCCCTATAAAAATATTTTTAAAAAATCCACGCCTGTTGTGAGAGACCTCTAAAAATAGTTTTAAAAAATCCACTCTGTTGTGACAGACCCTCTAAAAATATTTTTAAAAAATCCAAAAATTAAATTAAAATTTTTTCTTTTTGAAAATTATTTTTTTTAACAATTACATTTTTTTCGCATTTATTTTATTATCCGTCTAAGATTAATTTAAAATTTATATATACGTATATATACCTAAAATGTATGTAATATGTATATATATAAAACTTAGCAATTTTTATAAGATTTCGTTTTTTTTAACATTTTTTATTTTTATTTTCCAATTTGTAATCGAATATAAATATATTTTTTTAATTCACGCGTTTTTGTATATATATAAAAAACCGGCAATAAAAACAAATTGATTTTTTTAATATATAATATTTTAATATTATTCAACCACATAAATAATATTTGTTTTTGTGTTTTCCAAAAAAAATGTTGTTGTTCTTGTGTTTTTTTTTTGTTATAGTACCAAATTACAATGAATATGAATAGAAGAAAAAGAGGAAAAGGGGGAGTTTTTAGAAAAAATTAAATTATAAAGCAAAAGGGAGGAAATGTTTATAGAATAACTGTGGGAGATATACATATATTTTCTAACAATTTATATATACAGAATATATATGTATATATAAAATATATATAAAGAAAGCTCGTAGTACAAACTTAACATTATTTAATTTTTTATGATAAAGAAATTCAGAAAATTGCTTTGGAAAAAAGTGAAAAAAAAACTATTTTTTCTAAATTGCTGATTATTAAAGAAAATTTAAATAAGAAACTGGAGCAGCAGAGATGGATGACAAAAACATTTTATAATCTAAAAAATATATATATGTATGTATATAAAAAAGGAAAATAAAACTTAAAACTGCATTCACACATTCTCTTTTTTTGTAGTTAATCAACTCAACACAACTCTCGCTCTGTCGTTCGTTCGCTCTCTCACAAAGAAATTTAATTCACACCTTTAGCTCTAGCCGAACATTCTCACCATGCCATTTCAAAAAAAAATTTTTTTTGCTTAGCCAAAATTAACTCAAATACGACAAATACACACACACATTCATTTCTATTAAATACATCTAATTATGAACTCTTTCGCTCGTTCTCGATCGCTCTATCTCTCGTTCGTTCGCTCACATTTTCACCTCACCCCTCAATGTCTATTCCATTCTCTCCGATATCACAATATTAACTTGAGGACATTGGGCGGGATTTTGTTCGCTAACGGCTAATTGAGCTAAACGTTGATTTAATTCCTCGTGCGAATTGAAAACGCCCGGTGCCACCAGACACAGGCTATCACCAAAATATTCACCATACGGAGTGCAGAGACGCCACACAATCGGTTCATGGCTACAAATGTCGGCCACAACATCACATGTATCACCCGGCCGTAACGATGGTACCTCTAGACGTCGAACTTGACTATTGGACATTAAGTAACAGCCATTGGGCCAGGTTTCCGAACCAATATTTTGTAGACGCCATGCCATTTGTTGACCATTCGGTTGTTGTTGTACCAGTTTCATGGAGGGCAGAGTTTGACCATTGCAAAAATCCAAATAGCAACCGACAGCCGTTTGAAGATTCCTGTGGGAGGAGAGAAGGAGAGGGGATGATTAGAGAATATATTTTTATTGAATATAATGGAGAGAGGAAGAGAAAGCACAGATATGGGAAAGGACAGCCTTGGTCCTTTAACAATATCTACGCCGTGGTCCTTAAAAGAATTCTTAAAAAAATCTACGCCTTGATCCTTAAAAAATTTTAAAATAATCTACGCCTTGGTCTTTTAAAAAATTCTTAAATCTACACCTTGGTCCTTAAAAAAATCTACGCCTTGGTCATTTAAAAAATCTACGCCTTGGTCATTTAAAAAATCTACGCCTTGGTCATTTAAAAAATCTACGCCTTGGTCATTTAAAAAATCTACGCCTTGGTCATTTAAAAAATCTACGCCTTGGTCCTTTTAAAAACCTACGCCTTGGTCCTTTAAAAAATCTACGTTTTGGTCCTTTAAAAAAATCTACGCCTTGGTCCTTTAAAAAAATCTACGTTTTGGTCCTTTAAAAAAATCTACGCCTTGGTTCTTTAAAAAAATCTACGCCTTGGTCCTATAAAAAAATATTCGCCCTGGTCCTTTAAAAATTTCTTAAAAAAATCTACGCCTTGGTCCTATAAAATAATCTTCGCCCTGGTCCTTTAAAAAATATACGCATTGGTCCTATAAAAAAACCTTCGCCCTGGTCCTTTAAAAAAATATACGCCTTGGTCCTATAAAAAACCTTCGCCCTGGTCCTATAAAAAATCTTCGCCCTGGTCCTTTAAAAAATCTACGCCTTGGTCCTATAAAAAAATCTTCGCCCAGGTCCTATAAAAAAATCTTCGCCCTGGTCCTTTAAAAAATTCAAAAAAAAAATCTTTAAAAAATTCACGCCTTCTGTAGGTCCTTGAAAAAATATTCTTTAAAAATCCAAAACTTCTGTAGGTCCTTGAAAAAATATTCTTTAAAAAATTCACGCCTTCTGTAGGTCCTTGAAAAAATATTCTTTAAAAAATCCACGCCTTCTGTGGGCCCTTGTAAAATATTCTTTAAAAAATCCACGCGGGTCCTTGAAAAATATTCTTTAAAAAATCCACGCCTTTAATAGGTCCTTCAAAAAATATAAATAAAAAAATTCACGGCTTTAATAGGTCCTTCAAAAAATATTAATAAAAAAATCCACGCCTTCTGAATGTCCTTCAAAAAATATTCTTTAAAAAATCCACGCGGGTCCTTGAAAAATATTCTCTAAAAAATCCACGCCTTTAATAGGTCCTTCAAAAAATATTTTTAAAAAATCCACGCCTTCTGAAGGTCCTTCAAAAAATATTCTTTAAAAAATCCACGCCTTCTGAAGGTCCTTCAAAAAATATTCTTTAAAAAATCCACGCCTTCTGAAGGTCCTTCAAAAAATATTCTTTAAAAAATCCACGCCTTCTGAAGGTCCTTCAAAAAATATTCTTTAAAAAATCAACGCCTTCTGTAGGTCCTTCAAAAAATATTCTTTAAAAAATCCACGCCTTCTGAAGGTCCTTCAGAAAATGTTCTTTAAAAAATCCACGCCTTCTGAAGGTCTTTCAAAAAATATTCTTTAAAAAATCCACGCCTTCTGAAGGTCCTTCAGAAAATGTTCTTTAAAAAATCCACGCCTTCTGAATGTCCTTCAAAAAATATTCTTTAAAAAATCCACGCCTTCTGAAGGTCCTTCAAAAAATATTCTTTAAAAAATCAACGCCTTCTGAAGGTCCTTCAAAAAATATTCTTTAAAAAATCCACGCCTTCTGAAGGTCCTTCAAAAAATATTCTTTAAAAAATCAACGCCTTCTGAAGGTCCTTCAAAAAATATTCTTTAAAAAATCCACGCCTTCTGAAGGTCCTTCAAAAAATATTCTTTAAAAAATCCACGCCTTCTGAAGGTCCTTCAAAAAATATTCTTTAAAAAATCCACGCCTTCTGAAGGTCCTTCAAAAAATATTCTTTAAAAAATCCACGCCTTCTGTAGGTCCTTCAAAAAATATTCTTTAAAAAATCCACGCCTGGAAATGTTATATAAAAATACGACTGCCCTCGTTAAAAATACGACGCAAAATCGGAATTGTATTATTCCCCTTATTCGACATTTTTCCAATTTCACCACACTTACCAATTACTCATCTCTAAGAAGAATCGGGCCGCATCCTTGTTCATCTGGTTGTTCATTAAACTATGAAATTGTTCGATTAAATCTTCATGATCACGGGTACCCAAACAGCTGAATTGTTGCAATAGCAATGAATCGAAATCGATGTCGGCTGCATTGGCCGCACGACCCTTATCATAATTTTGTGGTGGGGCAGGTAAGGGTATGGGACCACCTAAGGGGCCATGTGAACTATCAAATACGGGATCGCATTGCATTTGTTGGCCCGTCTGGGGCTGGGATGGACCACCTCCACCACCCGATTGTTGGCCATCAAATGTGTTGTCGCCAATGTCCATAATTGGGAGCTGTAAAAGGACGAGGAAAAGAAAACAAAATCAATTGCACCTCAAGTTGTGAAATTGTTCGGAAAACGGGAGATCAATAGTTTTTATTTTTTCCTATTTTGTCTATAATCAAACCTTGCCCTACTCAATAGCAGCGCGTTCGTTTTCTTGTTTCTTGCTTCTGTGTGTAGTTTGTTTTTTTGGGATGACCTCTTTGTTTGACACCAACACCAGCAGTACTCTCCGATTTTTGTTGTTGTTGTGTACAAGTTTCAATGCAAGATCATCATCATCGCGTAGTTCTACTTCTTAATTTGTTTTCTATTTGAAATTTCTTTCTTCGTTGTCGTCGTCGTCGTCTTACGGGCTGGCTGGCAGGCAGGCTGGTCTCTCTTTTGATCTATTTTTTTTTTGTTTTCTTTGTTTTCATATTTTGATTTCTCATCCAATACTTACCGTCCTTTTTGTCGTCTTTTCTTTATTTCACTTCACTTGAAATTGTTGTTGTCGTTGCTGCTGCTGCTTCGTTCCAAAGTTTGTTGAAATTCCCTTTTTAATGACGCCGTTCTTTCTTGTAAAAGTTTAGAAAAGAAATTGATTTAAATTATTTCAAAACAATCAGAATTGAATCCCAAATATTTACTTCGTATATTTTGTTTAACAATTGGGCTTAGATTTTACAACGCTACTGCTCTGCTCATGCAGTTGCACTTCTTATAATAGAGTTGTGTTGTTCAACTGAACACGTTCACTGAAATGAACCATTGAAACCTTTGTGAACTCGGTCCTTGATTTAGTACGGCTAGTTCACCGGGCTGAATGGAAATGCATTTATTTCGTCGGTTTTTTTAATGTCAATGAAACAAAACAAAAGAAATTAGAAAAAAAAACAAAAAATTAGAATATTTTTATGGTTGCCTGATAAATGACAAACATGAGAGGCCACACTAGCAAACACCGCTTAAGGCGACCGTGACAGCTGAGGAGCAACTTGTCAGAAAAGTTATTCCAAACGTTATCTCCGGGCCAAATTTATTAATATTTGATCAGAATAATATTCTATGTCAATTTCGTCGTATCGTGCCCGTCTGTCTGTTGAAATCATGGTAGAAGTCGCAATTTTAGGACAGAGATTTGACATTTTGACTACTCCTAGGAAGTGTTTACATGACAGTGGAGTCTACGACCGGAAATGGCCTGAGCATCACTCGGCCAACGACTGCCACCATCAGTCCTAGGATGTTTGGTACTGACAATTTCATTTATGGATCCACCTTTTGACATAGGTCCCATGTAACGCTAGTGCCCTATTTTTGGTTTTAGGGACACAGTCTTCAAAAATTTGGTACTAATTTGACATTTAGGGAAAATATTCCTATAAAAAATGTCGGTGCCTCCCAAATTTCGGTATTTGGGGCAAATTTACTGTAATTTTATACTTCGAATTATGAAAATCTTACTTACTTAGCTGACTAGGGACAGAACAGTTGTTCATAAGCCGAAAAAATATTTCCAGGCGCGTCGCTCTTGTTCGCAATTTGAAGTACCATGTTTTGATATGTCATCCTACACTTCATCTTTCCATCGAATTCGTGATCTTCCCCTTCTGCGTGAACCATCAGTAGGCTCGCTTTTTCGAGCTGGGAAACCGCAGCTCGATACGATTGACTATGTCGATCTCCGTGTAAAGCTCGTGGTTCCTTCGACGCCGATATTCACTGTCGACACAGGTCCGCCCGTCGATCTTTCGGAGAATTTTTCTCTCAAACACACCAAGAGCTGTATCATCTGCTTGCGCAAGTATCCATGCTATCACCGTGTCGGAGTTCTCACAAGATCTCGGTGACATATTGTGATAATTTCTTCGATTGATTTTTTAGCTTTAGGTATGTTGAAAATGGCGCCCAATTGTTGATATATAGAAATCTGAATTGGTTGTCCTATATCAACGATAGTATTACGAATTTTTTCTCGGAGGTCTTGAACCGGCACGGGGCTGTTGGTGCTAACTCGCAAGATCTCGGTAACATATTGTGATAATTTATTTGAGTTTCTTTACCTTTAGGTAAAACAAAATGGGGTATGGAACCTTACCACTCGTTGTCAGAGAAACTGTTGTTATTAAAAAATCTGAATTGGCTGTCCTTTATCATTAATAGCATCATACATTTTATCTCGGAGTTCTTGAATCGACACTGGGATGTTGGTGTTAATCCGCAAAACCTCGGTGACCCATGGCAACACCTTGGCAACACCTTGCCAGGTGTTGCCATAGAAACTTGGCGCCCAACTGTTGTTATATGAAAATCTGAAGTGACTCTCAATATATTTACGAATTGTATCTCAGTTTTGAATGGACACTTTCCTGTTAGTCTAAAGGCGTTAACTCGTAAGGTCTCGGTGTTGTTGACATAACTTCATTTTCAAAAAAGTATGGCCCAGTGATTTCGCCGGTTGGAGATGGAAAAGCTTCTTAACAATAACTCTTGAGGTTTCTGAGCTCCAGATGCGACAATTTAGCTTTTTAAGTTAGCTACTGAGTTTCAAATGGATCTTTTCATAAATGAATATTTTTGAATAACATTTCGGATTCATTGCCATTCCATTTTAGTAATGCACACTAAATTTTGGAATGCATAATAAGGTGTCTGATCGAATGTTTTTGATTGCTTGTAGTACATTTTTATGATTTCAATATTCAAAACTTCTTTACATACTTCTTGAAACATAAGCCTCCAAAAATACAGGATTTGCATTTCATACTGGAACCGACTTTGGCAATGTTTGTTATTTTTATTTAAATTTCAGATATTAAATATAAAACATAGAACATTTTTATATAGGACACATTCCATTTTTTTCTTAATTTAATAATATTTTTTCTAAATTCATTGAAATATCAAAAAAAACACTCACATTTTCTTCGTCGGCTGCAGCCACCGCCTACCATTGGCAATTTTAACGCCGTCATTCACACCACATACCCGCCTCATCCAACCAACTGTCAAACGAGTGTGCCCCGATAGTCATCAGCAATGATTTCGTTCAGTCAAATTAGATTTTCGTACGATTCGGATGCAAAAAAAGAAATACCAGAAAAGAAATAAAAAACATAAAACTGGCTAAAGTGGTGTAGATAAAACGAGAATTAACAAAAAACGAATGGATAAAGAATGTGTGTGTAAAGAATGAAAATAAAAAAATATGGGAAAAAATTTATCTAAAAGATTGTTTTTTTAACAAATGTGAATACAAAAAATACTAAATAACAAAAAAATAGTAGTAGCAGTAGTAATGTGAGACGACGAATGCGACACGACGAAACGAATAGGAAATTCTAGTGAAAAGAAAAATAAAGAGCAAGAGTAAAAAAAATTCGAAAAAAGTGCGCATAAAATATGGAAATGAAAAAAATAATTATTTTCAAAATAGAATAACGAGAGTGTGTGTAAAATAAAGATGAAGAAGAAGTAGAAAGAAGGTGGTGGCATAAAAAAAAAAATTATAATAAATAATAATAAAAAACGAAGAAAAGAATAACAAGAGGCAGAAAAATTCCAATTGGAGTTCGTCGTCGTAGTAGTGAAATTTATTTTTCTTCTCATTCTTCTTCTTCGTTGTCGTCGTCCGTCGCCTTTGCATTAATGGTATGTGTGGTGTTGTTGTGTGTTTATTCGGCGACAACGATAACGGCTACCACCACGACGACGACCACGAAAACGAATTTTACGTTGACTGAGGTTGACGTTTACGTTTAACGTCGGCTCGTATATGCGCGCGCGTTATTTCGCCTGCTTGCCTGCCTGTCTGTTCGTGTGTGTGCGTATATGTGTTTAATGTTGTGTGACAGAGTGAGAGGGAGAGAAAACAAAATTAATTGAAAACACCACACATTCTTCTTCTTTTGAGCTAAGAATTAAATATTAAACAACAGCAGCAGCAATAAAAAATCCAATTGGAAATTAAATATAACAAGAAAAATTGTTGTGCTGCCAGAGTACTGGGAAGAAGAGAAAGAACAGCTCTCACCACCCCTCTCTGTGATGTTTGAAGCTCTATCATCACTGTGTCTATTTTGTTGTGTGGCCGACCGACCGCCCGCTCGCCTTTTAACTTCGTTAAAGTAGTGTTGTGTTTTTGTTGTTATTTTTGTGGCCACTGTCGTCGTCTCTTCCTGTGCCCGTAATGTTGTTATTAATTTGTTGTCATTACTATTTGCTGTCGTCGTTGTTGTTCGGTTGATAGTTTTTCATTCGTTATAATTGTTTTTTTTTTCATTGTGTATTCTTCCTTTTTTTCATGTTGTTGCTGTTATTGTTCTACAACTACCAAAAAATAGAAAAATATCTACAAAATAAAATCATAATGATTATACTTTAGAAGAAGAGGAAAGAAATCATTCGCCATCTCTATACGTATTGTCACTATCTGCTCGGTGTTTTGTTGTTGTTGTTGTTTTGTCGACAACAACAACCAGAAAATTGAAAATAAAACTATAAAGACAAGAAAAAAATAAATGTGCTAATTTTATGTGTATTTTTTTGTGTGTGCAGAAATAAAAAAAATCAAAATAGAAAAAAAATCAAATAAAAACAAAAACAACCACCAGCAGTTTGCTTGCTACTGGCTGGGGGATTTATTTACTTGACAACGAAAAGAAAAAAATAAATAGAATACGAAAAAAAATCGCTGCAAAAAAAAATTTAAATAAATTACCATAGAAAATCCCGACCGTCTTCTCGGCATTTTCACTACCGAGATTTTGTTGTTGTTGTCTTTAACAAAATGAAAAAAATATAAATAAAATAAAATCTGCGAATAACAACCCTAACCCATAATCAACAACAATAAAAAATATAAATAAAATAAAATTATTAATAAAAAACCAAGAACTTCCAGCAAAGAGGAATATAAACATCACAACACAGTGGATTATCAACATCATTAACGACATAGTATGTATGTATA